ATCACTAACATTTCCAAAAGGTTAACAAAATTACATCTTCGCTCGTCTAAAACCAGCTTACCCACTAGTTTTTGCTGCTGAGATCAACTACCACTACTTGTCTTGTGCTAGTAGCAAGCTAGCTGTTATTTAAGTTGACGTGAAACAAATACGTATGTGTGTGTGTTTAATAAATCCGTTTCGATTTTGAGCACACGTTTGACGACGTACCGAAAACTGCCTGGCTTAAAAGTGAGATCTCAAACTTAAAATCTCAGCTCTTACCCCACTTCTGCTCTAACCATCAACACAGTAACGACGACACAGGAAGTAAAACGTGCAATTCAAATATTTCACTTCCGGGTGCGACGCAATCGTTTCGTTAAGTCTAGAGTGTGTCTTTGGCTCATTTTCAGAATTTATATGATAAATAATTACATTGTGTACTTATTGTTTGTTCGCTTGTTTGTTGAATTAATTATTTTTAACCAAGCTGTGTAAAACGAGAGTTAACGGGGTTTCTTTTTTGTGTGTTTGTGTACGTCATCAGGTTGCTGGGGTTACAAGTTGAATACGGAAGTGGCCCTCATGGAAACATGGCCGTGCAAAACTGGATCGATGTCCTGAAATCTTCGCAGAAAACGGCGCTGATACAGGACGGTAAGCATCGCATAGCATATTGTCGCCGGAACTTATTTTGTCTCGTCGACACTGTGAGTTAATTTCTATCGTGTAAGCGGGTTGCAACCTGTGTAGTTCCTGTTACTAGGCAACGAACTCGTTTTACAACCGAGCCGCACATTCTGAATAATAAAGAATGAGGCTTTACACGCGAATAGTAAATAATACACACAAACTAGCATACGTTTGTTATCAGTGTAGATTGACCAGAAGAAGTGCCTCAAAATTAATATAGCTCAACGCCACTTTTACTTATCCCGTGTGAAATCCGTTATTAGTCAGTCAAAGGTGAACTGAAGCATATTATTGAAATGGAAAAGGTAAAGATGCACAGAAATATTCTACACGGTTTTCATATAACACAACAGGAACGCAGTTTTAGCGCAAAAATGTTGTGTTATGGTCTCTGCACAAATACAACTGATTTGACAGTTGCCCATCAGGCAGTCATTGGTTAGTATTTGGTTCAATATGTTTCAGAGTTAATAAAAGTAAAAATTAAAAAAGAAATAAAGAAGAACAAAAACCTTCAAAAAAATAAATCCAAAACACAATCTGGCCACAAGAGTGCGGTATAGAGTTGTGTTAAAGACGCCACGTATCTTCACTGGACAGGTAAAGCCAAAATTCTTCATTCCCCTGATAGATTTAAGTTTAGGACTATTTTCTTTCAACCAATAAGTTTGTTTTTGGTAGGAAGTCAGACAGGTCTCTATCAGTGGATGATGCAACTAAGAAAAATGATATTGAAAAGCAAAATGGAAAAAAAAACAAAACACATAAGAAGTGATCCAACTCTTCAGTAGCTTTTGGTACATTTTTACTGAAAATTTAACAGCAATTTCATCTTATTGAACATTTCCAGCCCTTTAAGCCTCCGTCCCATCACCCTAATCTTTATTTCATTTTTTTGTATGTATGTATGTATGTGAACGTTTGTTGGTATTTTTAGAATGAACCCGGATTTGTAATTCTTTGATCATAAATAACAATCTGTTCATCCAGAATTGCTATTTGATTAAAAATAATTTAACAATTTTAATTCGTACTGTTTTTATTTTTGTGTACATTGGAATTATGAATGTGTTTCTGTCTTTGACCTTCAGGGAAAAGGAAGATCCATTACCTCTTCACAGATGGAAAAGAAATGGCTGAAGAGTACGACTTGAAAACAGATGAACTCATCTGTAAGCAGCGGGTTTTCTGCTCGACACATCTGCAGATTAATAACGCGTGATGTCTGTAATATTTCATTGTGCTTTACTAAAACACTGCGTGTTACAGCTAGAAAGTGGCGGCAGAAAAGCACGCTGGGAGTTCAGGGGGTTTGGCAGGTAGAAGTCGGGGAGCCTGTAAATGTACCTGCAGCTCTCAACTCCGATGTCATTAAAGAAAACTGCTCCAACGTGAGTTTATTATTATTTGTGTTCCCAATATATTTAAAGCATCAGTTTTTTTAAAATCAATGTGTGTGTGTGTTTTTTTTTTTAATTCTATTTTGTCTCCTTAGCCAGTGTTTATGCGTAAAGACACAAAGACCAGCTTTCAGTGGCGAATCCGTAACCTTCCCTATGCCAAGGATGTCTTCAGTGTTTCCATGGAGCCCTCTGAGAGATGCATCATCATAAAGACCACAAATAAAAAGTACATTTGCTCAAAAACAGTGGCATTTTCCTGAGCACCTTTTTGTTTTTGTAAAGTATGCTGACTGGATTCAGTTCTTATGTCTTAAATATAAATGGCACTGTTTTGCAATACATTCATCAGTATTAAGGCCACGTTATGCCATCTTCTTCATGTCTTCCCAGGTATTACAAGAAGTTCAGCGTTCCTGATCTGGATCGAAGCCAGCTGCCGCTTGACAGCTCTGCACTCAGTTACACACATGCCAACAACACTTTAATAGTCAGTGTAAGTCAAACACACCCTAATAATTATATGGTTTTTTTTTCTCTAATGTTGACCATTTTAAAAATAAAAAAAGAGATGATTTAATGCAGAGTGCTAGATCTGTTTTGATCTGAAAGCCTCCATCATAGGTCTCTCCAGAAAAAAAATTATTACAATTAAAAATTGCATTCGTATATATATATATATATATATATATAAATATATATATATATATATATATATATATATAAATAATATATATATATATATATATATATATATAAAATTTTATATATATATATATATATATAATATATATATATATATATATATATATATATATATATATATAAGAAGTACATATATACCAAAGTAATTCTAGGTTGACCGTTTCCTTTCTTCTCTCTTGTCCAGTACCAGAAACCCAAAGAGATTTTAACGCTGGAGCAGGAGCTGCTGAAGGAAGTGAAGAAACTGAAGGGGACTGGTGAAGGGGACGTCGACTGCACAACCCAGTGAATTCTGAGTACGATGAAAAGAAAATGATAGAGGGCTGCATTTCAGGCAGCGCCTCAGATTGTCATATCCCTCCTCACTCGCAGGCTTGTTTTTAATCTTTTTGTTTGGATCCTCAGTGCCTTGTCTCTGTGCTTTCAGTTTTGATGGCTAATTATTCAATCGGATGTAGGCAGTATCAATAATAGTAGTAATAAAAAAACTTTAAAAAAACAGACATGCATTTTCTAAAACCTTGATTTAAGAACTTTGCAAGTTCATTTATTTTCTTAGTTCCCTAACGGTGTATTTATTGTTTTACTGCACTTCATTTGAAGGTGTTTTCTTTTTTCCGGCGGGGGGTGGTAGGAGGGTCACATAACCTACCACTCTGCTTTCACTGATGTCCTTGTAAAACACTCCGGACACACAATGCTTTATGCTTGTTCGTTCAGAGGTCACGGCTACGACGACGTCTCATTTGTGTTAAATGAATTCCCTCATGTTGTTTGCACCCTGTTGGCCACCCTGAAAGCCATCACACAAGCTTGTTTCACCGGTTCATGTTAGAACACACGGCGGCTGAAATGCTGCAAAAACTGTAAACGGATTCAACTTCGGCAGTAAATTCAAATCGGTGAAATATTTCCAGTTGCCTTGCACTGCTCCTCTGATTAAATATAAAATGTCTATTTTTTTCTCTCTCTTTTAAAAAAACAACAACAACAAAAAAAACAGTACAATAGAAAAAGAAAGACAAATTGTTATTTTCCCCACTGCATATTAAAGAAATACAATCAGTTCGACTGAAGATGCTTAAACAGTGGATATAAAAAAAAGCGGTGGTGCTGTTTAAATGGGACAATGGCACTTAAAAATAGATTGTTTCAACCTTGTGATTCCTTGCATTTTTCACCGCTTGTCCAAACCCAGAAAGCAAGTGCAAAAAGCAGAGACAAAACCACAGGTCCTCTCTCACCATTGTGCTTTGTCTTCTTCCAGATGGAAAGGACAGGTCACAAGAAAACATTTAAACCAACCAGTCCTGTTGTTTTGGAGAAGTTGTGTTTTTTTTTTTTCTTTGTCAAACCCCGATGTGACAAAACAGCATGTGATCACCTTTTCTTTTTTTTTAATATTGAGTTGAAATTAATTGTTACCACACAGAATACCACTTAAATAGGTTGTAGTTTGTTTTTTGTGAGTAGACAGAAAGTGGAAAAAGTCCGTGGTCCTGCAGCAGGAGGCAACAAACTTAACGAATTTGACATCTAGCTCATGCTTGGTGAGAGAAGCCCAACTCCTCTGTTTAGGGTCTTCCTCTCCCCTGTCATTTGGCCTTTGACGGTCATGCTCAACTGCTTCTGGGAAGGGGCTTTCTTTCTTGCTTCCCTTTCATTCCCGAATGCCTCTTCCCAGCCATTCCCCCTCTTTCAGTTGATGCCACATTTTGCCACACAGGCCTTGGCGCTCCCCCGCCCCCCACCCCTCAGCTTCCTCTCCGCCACCTCTCCCCCTGTGTGACTGGCTTCTTTTTGATAACTGACCCCTCCTCGTGTTATTATTCGAACCCACTATTGTATAACATGCCCTTTTATATGAGGTCCCACAAAGGGCCCATTTGATCAGAGGGTTACGGTGTGCGATCGTGAGAAATGCAACTACATGGTGGTAACCTTTGTTTGAGCCAAAATGGTGGGCTGACCTCATCGCTTTTAATGCATAGCTCAGACCATTCAGGCCCAAGTCTCACTTGCTGAGCACATTGAATTCAGTAGCCTGTCACAGATATTGCCCCTCAGTTATCTAGGTTTTCAGCTTGAAGAAGACGAAGAAGAAGAAAAAAAACCCACCAAAAAACAACAACTTTTTTTCTATTTTGGGGGCGTGAAGGGGGCTGGTTGGTATGCCAGCTTCTAGTTTGGAAAACAGCCACAAGAGAACACACAAGCAGATTACGAAACTCTTTAGTGGTTTTAATATACACTCTACAATAAATATATCCATCATTTGATGTAATTTACATTTTTACAGTAAAAATATATCCATATATGTAGAAAAACGAAACAGGTTACATAATTCTCCGAGAGAGCACGTCGACTTAGAGATGCTGTAACCACAGATAGCTGCCACGTCTAGCTTCACTTTTTAACATTCTTTTCAACGCTGAGCTGGCTAACGTCTAACTCGTCATGAGATTTCTTTGTCTTTTTTTTTTTTTTTTGAGCTCTCCAGAACGTAAAATGCCCTGATTTTAATAGCCAAAGATAGGGGGAAATCTTGCTACAGTCTGTAAATAACTAGCAGATTAGATAGTTTACATAAAACCCAGTAACCAAGAAGTACGTAAGAAGTCCAGAAAAGAGGCAAATTAAAAAAAAAAAGAAGAAGTGTGTGGGCACTTGAGTTCACACTATGCTTTCTCTTGAAGTGGTTCTTCTGTGCTGTTCCTCTTCAGTGGTTTGGGTCCTCAGCGTCCCCCAGAGCGCTGGTGATGGGAGTGTTTAGTCCGCCTGCTGAGAGGCTGCACGGGGATGGGCAGAGGGAGGACATCGAACGGCCTCCTGTCGCTCAGCAAATGGCCCCTCGGAAGACGCTTCATGAAGTGGGCTTCCCTCTGGTGCTGCTTGGTCTTCGAGGCCTTCCTCGGGCGGCCCTTGCGGGTGAAGGCCATGTACCAGCCCTCGTACTTGGCGTTCTGCAGGGCTGTGTAGTTGTTCTCCAGGACGATCTCGGTGAAGATGCAGTCCTTGCCGCGCCCTTTTCGCTGGGGAAGAAAAAAAAAAAGCGGAGAAGTTGAGCTTTTTTAGGGAGATCTGAAACACCATCTTCTACTTCCACACGTTTTCACCGGCTGGTTTTATATGTGTCCAAACGACGTGTAAGAGCCACAGTAAAAGAAAAGCATTCAACGTGTTGCTTCATTAAGACCAAGGCACCTTGCCAATCAGCTTCCCTCTCTTGTTCATGCATATGTAGTATCCTGTCTTCACCCCTTTGATCCGAACGCGACTCCCAAAGGAATCTGTCTCCACTTCCAGCTTAGCTGCACAGACAAAAACAAGATGACAAGATGAGCGTGACACAAATGAAGCAGATTGTTAAACGATGCTGCTCAGCCCAAGTTGTTAAAACGACATGAATCCCCTCTTTATCTCCCATGATCCAGCAGCCCGTCTTTAACAAGCAGCATCAGGGGCTTCCAAAATAGCATCAAATGACAGTGATTTCACATGGCCTGGCTGATGCCAAGGGCCCGTCAGGCTCTGTGGGCCAGCTCAGACGGGGGATAAAGGGCAGTGAGAAACACTGTGGTCAGAGGGACACAACCACAAGCGCGGTGCAGCGGTCTGGGTTTGGGCTGGTTTATGGGAGCGACTCCCACCCAGAGGGCGCAGCCGAAACGAGCAGGGCTGACCTCTCTCTGTGAGCCTGAAGAAGGCTTAAAAAGCACGCGAAGGAAAGAAGCGAAGAGAAAGATGCAAACTGTAACCAGTGCTTGTAAATCGAGTCATGCATTGACTTGCAAGGCAACGAAAATTACCCATAAAGTCGAAGTGGGTAGAAGAGAGCAGGTGGGAGGATGGAGGTGGGGAGATGGGTGGAAGCAGGGCCAGGACAGGGTTTCTGTTTGACCCTGTGTGGAATTTAATGAGGGATCGACCTGCTGTTAAAATCATGCTTAACCTTGCATGATCTTTTGTACCATTTATAATTTTTTTCCCCCTTTTCTCTGAAGTTGGTGAGCTGGCAGTCGACACTTGGAAAACAAACAAACTCAAAAACAAACAAAAAAAAAGTCAAAAAGGAGGGGTCAAGTTGAATTGATCTGATTGATGGATTTGCAGATTAAGACTTGTTTAACAAGTACATGTTGCAGGAAACCTGATCTCAGATCAGACACAAGCTTTACAAATAATTCAAGTCACATTAGCAGTGTCACCTTGTTTAAAAATGTGTGAAATGGTGAAGCAAAGTAATAATTACATAAATGTTTATGACTGTAATATTAACACACTGGACTAGGAAAGGTAGCCTTATGGCATTTATAAAAGCAATAGAAGTTAAGACAACATGTTTTAGGCTTTGCAATAAAAATAAAAAAATAAAATAAAAAAAACAACAACAAAAAAACAGTTTTGTACCGTACATAGGAGAGTCCAGTTAACTACTGCCCTTTGTCTCCTGTCTGGCGGTTTCTTAATGGTTTATGAGCTGAATTCATAATAATTAACAATTTGTTCTGTAATTATTTGCTAACCATCTTAAGTGTGCCCTATGACAGTATCAATAAAATGTTGTTCTAAAGTTGCAAAGAAAATTGTCTTAAATATGCAACTCTGAAAATATGCTTCTAGCAGGAATAAAGGAAACATTTCAATCAATAGGGATTCCTGGATTTTGAACTAAACTGGGTGAGAAAGCTTTTGTGTTTTTCAGCAGCCGGTGTGTTTGCATATATTTACTCCGACAGGGCGTCGGCCGCTGCTACTTGATTAGAGAATTTGTTCACCCCTAACAATTTTTTTTATTTTTTGCTTATGCACTAGAGATTGTACCCCAGGATTATGTGTGAGCCATAACACACATTACATGAAAAATGGTTGTTTGATCTTTGTGTTGAAGCTGCATCGCTGATTTCTTGGTCTTGCAAAGAAATCTCTGTCAGACGCATCTTTGTAAATACAGAAATTAATGAATGAATGAGTAAATGAGATTATTAAATAAGATGTATGCAGGGTGAAACTAATGAGTTTGTTTCTTCTGCTGTTTAAGCCACCAAGTGAGAAAAAACAAACACCAAACACAAAAAATGTTTATTGTTTTAAATAATTTCTAAAATAAAATGTATCATTTTAGATTCTATTTAATCCACAACTCTGAAATAGTTTAGGACAATTTTATTTGAAGCACATTAATTGCTTGTATGGCTACACTCATAATTGTTTGACATTCATAATGAGTAATGTGGAAATTCAAAAGCTCTTGGGTGCCCCCTGTTGGCCTGGGGGCAAAAAGCTAGAGCTTATTTCGCTTATCAGACCTGCTCTACGTACCAAAAAAAAAAAAAAAAAGAAGAAAAACTCAGTTGACTTCAAGAACAAATCTTCATTTAAGGATCGACACACTTTGTGCATAAACAAAGGAATTTCACTCATTCATTTATTGCTACTCTTAATTTGGGCGCTATCAGGTTTGCTGTTTAACAAAAGAATGTAAAAAAAAAACTGTTTAAAGATTTTTATTGTTTAAAAAATGTCTCGCATTGTGTTTACTTTGATGCATATTAATAATTCTTCTTTACAAAGCTGCATTAAAAAAAACATCACTGGAGAGAATATTCACCTTCATTTTAATGCCCCCCCAAAAAAATTAAAAGAAAAAAAAAAACATATCAGCGTGTTATTAAACGAGGATGAATCACACGTGTTCTGACCGGTCAGTGTTATTAGACGGTGTTTGTCCTACCGTGCACCGCGCCGTCGTCCCCGTTGGCGTTGACCCGCTTGTTGGCCAGGACCTGGACGTGCTTCCCACTGGTTCGGCTGTACAGCTGGTAGGTTCGGGTCAGTCTGCGGCTCATGCGGTCCGACAGCCGGCTCTGTTCGGTGACGTGCTGCTTGAAATTAGGAGGCGACTGCACAGTGTCCTACCGGGAGAATATGAAACATGTGTCACATCATCATCATCATCATCATCATTATTATGTATGTGTTTTATCGCAATAGCTGCATTACTAACATTGATTTATGGGCGGCCTGCTTTGGAGACGCGTTCACTCTGATAGGCTGTTCTTTTTTCTTTTTTTTTAACCACCGATGATCTTTCACCTTTTCATGACTTCTTCCCCCCCCCCCCCTCTCTCTCTCTCTCTCTCTCTCTCTCTCTCCTTGTACTCTTTTCTTTTTTCGCCCTCATCATTTCAACCGTCCTGCAGCCACATGTGTTTTAACAATTACCTTTTAGGCTGCAGCTTAACATTTTTCAAGATGTTTGAATAGTTGCCAACAGCCATAGCGCTCATAATAAAATGTTTTCATTGTTACTGCAGCCTGTTGAAGGCAGTTTGCTACTTGCCGTTAAGTCATCGGCCAGGTATCTTTTTAAAGTTTTGCTCGAATTAATAACAACTTTATGCAGCATAATTGTTTTTTTAAATAAATTATTATTATTATTGTTGTTGTTATTATTATTATTATTGAACTGGAAGTGAGAGTTACCTGTGCGTAAAAGCAAAGCGCCGCGAACTGGAGAAACCTGCGGCACAAACAGCAATTAAAATAAAAATTAAAAAATATATATATAAAATAACAGTTTTCGCACCCCAAACAAACAAAAAAAAAAGTCAAACCAAAGCATGTTAGAATGTGCCAGGGGCTCCAACACTTACAGATAACCTAACCTCGATGTTCTCAGCCTCATCCTGTAATAGTTCAAATATCGCTTCATGAATACTTCGCTGATTCGGCTTTGGACGCCCTCGGAGTCACCATTCCTGCAGTCGGGTGCCTTCGGCTCAGTTTGAATTAACCTCCTCGTTGCGCGCCGAAAGCCAAACCCATGACAATTAAGAGATCCGGAACTGTCAGGCGTTCCGACGCAGGTCCTCTCCGCAGTCCGGTCTGGGGGTCGGAGGGGTTGGGGGGGTGGAGGGGGGTTCAAACGGCACTAATCCAAAAAGTGAGGTCTCGCGAAGAGCGTCGCCGTCACCCCAGCTCCCCCATCAAGTCCCCTTTGGCTCATTCGGTTGAATCCCTCCTTATCGCTCTCGCGGAGTGACGACCGCTGGTTTCACGAACGGATGTCTGCGCGTCCTGGAGGAGATGCTCTTTTTGCGCCCTGAAGAGTGCGGTCATTTGTGAGGAGAGATGATGCGCGCATCTCCTTTAAAAAGTGGCAAATAAAGTTGCCTGGGCTGTCAATCTCTGCGTGCGGATTGTAAAGTCCCCGCGTCCCCAAAAGTCTTCCACCCACACGGGTGTTCCTTTTCTTTCTTCTTCTCTCTCTTTTCTTTTCTTTTTTTTTCTTCTTCTTTGCGGTCGTCTCCCGTCCACATACAGCATCTGTCTCGCTCTACATTTAAATACTTTAACTTGCGGGAAAGTCAATATCCTCGGCGAGAGCGGGCGGAGCATTCAGACTGGAGCCAAGATGAAACCGAATCCTTGTCAGGACGCTCAAGCCTGCAACGATCTGCGTGCGAAATCCTTCAGCAATTCGTACGGAGGGACTCGTTCATCTGTACAGGTGCATCTCGGTAAGATTGGAACGTAATCCCCCCAAACCCCCCCCCCCAAAAAAGTGGATTCATTTCAGTGAGTCAATTGTAGGAACAAAAAAGTGAAACTCAAATCTGGACTTGTTTCAAGCAGATTTGTGTGGTTCAAGTTATTGTTAATAAAAAGCAAAACAAAAACTAAGCAAAAATCCACAAAAACAAAGGGAATTAGAGTATTACATTAGTCCAATAAAATAAGTATTTTAATCCAAAATCTCCTTTCTTCTTGGCCATTCAAGCACAGTGGCAGCTCTGCCATCAAAGCAGGTGTTAGTACTTTTGGCAGCGTGAGGATGGGCCTGCAGGAAAATAAATTTGGCGTCTCCATAAAGTGTCCTGGTAGCCGACTGCTCTGCCTACCTGATGAAGCACCATGAGCCAAAACCAGCCGATGACATGGCTGCAGCTACCCACTGGACCTCGAATGACCCGCATTTTGTGCCTCTCCACTGTTTTTCCTTTACGCTCGCAAGCCTCGATTTCGAAATGAAATGTGACTGCTGGGCATAAGTTGAGTTCTTTTTCTTTTTGAGACACTTCTGAGTTTATCTTGGGTTTATTAGTGGCTAACCTGTAATGAGGCCATTTACAGCTCATGTCTTTTTCTGCAACACTTTTTCCTTCCTCTCAACTTTCTATCAATATGCGTGAGCTGCCACGTCTTTAGCAATAACCTTTTATGGCTTATCTGCCTTGTGGAGGGTGCTGATGGCTGCCTGCTGGACAAGTCAACAGTCTTTCTTGTCATTGCGTAGGCCGTATCTTGACACGGAAGGAGTTTGGTTCTGCTATGTTACTTTTGTGTTGAGTTCCTTGTCTCTTTGGATTTATTTTGCATTTTGGTAGATCCTTGTGTCTAGTAATGCTCTTTTTAGATATTGGTGTCGTTCCTCTGTCCATGTTAAGTCGCCTGTGTGTCTTGGTAATGGCTGTTTTGAGCCATCAGCACTTAATTGCTTGGTTCGTGCTTCTCATGCTGCAAGACTTTTGTTTTAATTCAACTCACCTGAGCTGGTCCCGTTATTCACCTCCTCAGAATAAATACTCGTCTGCTCACTCGTCCCTTTGCCTCATCCCTTCTGCTGCAACGCCGTTCTTTTCCCGAGGGTCGCCGGATTACTCCTCTTCTTTTTGTGCCTATGGGTGACCTTTGGGTTCTTAATTTCAACCATGAAATATTTCAGACATGACCGTAGCATGACTTTTCAGGGGGGTTTTTCATCGTAATGTTTTTCACCTGAAAAACCGTGTTTCATCTAAAGCGACAAAACGTGAACACCTGACTTGCATCACTCTGTGTGTAAGGAATCTACTGTTTCCGCAATTTGAAATACATTTTTGAAATATGCAACATTTTCAGTGACATTCGTTCCTATCAGTGGTCTTGCCCATGACAGACGCTTTCTGCTGTTTCTGCATTTAAAGGCGGGCCAGACAGAAAGACAAAAATATATATATAACCAGCCATTATTCCCAATCACATTAATCTCATTCAAGTCCAGAATCGCAGAACACTTTGTTTTCTATCAGCACATGGAAAAAATTCCCTGGCATGTACTTAAGAAAATCTACAGTTACATTAAGTTATTCCCTTACTGCAGGTTAGAGGTTGTTTGAGGGGGGAGCTCCCTCAGGACAGACCCCAACATACTTTTTTTCATCCTACATACTTAAGTAATATGTATTCCATGTGAACACATGAAGCACCATGGTTTTCACATAACATCTGAAGCCTTTTTTTTTTCACATGAATACACATGCTCTCTCGCTCACAAACACCCCTCAACGACTGCTTCAGGCCTCGGGTTTGAGCCTGAAAACCTCGTCCGGGGCCTCAAGTGCTACTTTCACAGCATGGTTTCATACGATACATCATGCAGTTAAACTGCAATTATTCTTCGTGACAACAGAGGTGCAGGGTTTCCTTTAAGCGGACGATGGCCGCTGCATGTTTGCACAACAACGGCCGCTGCAAATAAGTGCCTGTCGGTGAGCAATTAGGACATTTTATGCACATGGCACCATACAAAGATGTAAATCACAAAGTTCTTTCATGAAAAGGAGAATAAATATTGAAGTGTCATTTAGAAGAACAAAAAAACAGTTCAGTGATGAAGATGATCAAATAGAAATATGAAGTGACATTCAACTAAATTTCAATTTGAATAAAGAGTGTATTCAAGAAAGCGTAAAAACAAAGGAAAATCATTCTGGAGTCTGGAGAGACTTTGGGTTTTTATGCTTCGGACTATGAAGCATTTTGTCTTTGACATTAAATAGGAAGGTGCTTGACCTCGCATGCAAAGTCTTGAAAGTTACGGTCAAGATTCTAACATTGATTGTAAAATGAACCGGTAAGCCAATGTAAAGACATTAAAACAGGAGAGTCGTACACTCTTCTGCTTCTTCCAGTTAAAGAGTCTCGCTCGGCAGTTCTGGATAAACTGAAGGCGATCAAGGTTGTTTTTTTGTTGATGTATGGGAAAGTGCAATGCAATAGTCTCTAGACAAAGGGGAATAAAAAGAATGAATGTTTTTGCAGCAAACTCATTTGTTTGGAAAGATTTTTTCGAGTAATTTTGTAGCCTTCCTATTTTCAGCCTGATTCGCTATTTCTTCTGTGCTCTGTCTGGACTTTCTCCCATTGAAATGGATTTCTCCAGGAGAATCTCAACCGGGCCAATCAGCGAACAGAAGTTGTGAATGATGGATGCTGTTTTACAATTGTAGTCCGCCTGTGGTTTTAGCAATGTTCGGCTCTTCTTCCTTCACACAGGATGGTTGCTTACAGTGCAGGCAATTTATGGTAAGCTTTATAGTGTTGAATTGGCGCATCACAAATGTCACGGCCAAACATTAGCCACTGAGTAAAATGTAAAACTTTAACAGAGTCCACACCTCCAGGAAGCAGTCGTTTCTCCAACCCTTACTGCTTTGCACATGGAGCTGGTTTCAACCAGGCTCGTAATTTTGAGAAATCGACTGTTAAAAAGATGAAAATGTCTTAAGTTTGACTAAATGGCAGAAGTCAAATGGCCAGTGTGTTGCCTGTGTTAGAGGTACATCTGTATGTTCAGTACACCTGAATGTCATCTGCATAAAAGTGTCATGAAATAATAATTAAAAAAATCTAAATTACAATAATAAAATAAGTCAAAATAAAAACGATGTGTGCCACATTTCAGATCAATACACTCATTCTGTCTTTCACTTTGAAATAACACTTTTAGCTTATTGCAGATTGTTGATCGTCTCCTATCAACAATCTGGTCATTTTCTGTCTCCACTTTTGTACTGGGTCTTAAAGAGTAAATAGGAGTAGTGCATGCAACACTTCCTTGAGGTCCAACCTTTCAATTGTTTCCTTAAACAGACAAGTTACATAACAAGTACAGAAAATGAATATTGGAAAAACACTTTCACTCTGATTTCAGTGAAAAGTTGAATACAGTTACTGGTGCACAATTCAAAATCCAAGAAATTATTCGCTGAACACACAAAAAAGGCATTATTTTTGTCAAATATCCAAGATGTGACAACACCAAACATTTCCAGCACCATAAGTGTCACAATATGCATTTTTTCTTAATCAGGGCAAAAATATTACAGCAGAGATCTACAGGCGCCAAGCCTCAAATACGATTATTGTCCCTATGACTCCGATTTGTAAAGCTTTATAAACGCAGGCTCTCACCCTCCATGTGTGAACATGATGGGAAACTGCTGCACGGAGAGGCAGTATAAGAGTAAATTACATTACATATATAATTATGAGAGTTTGTTCAACATCTTAGCTGTAAATCAGTCATATTGGCCCATGCTGGAGACTTAAAGGGTGAAAATGGACTGGCTTATTAGTTCCAGCGGGACACTGCAACAAGTGAATTCGCCATATGGAACAGTTCAGCACTTTGTTTTAATCCTGTTTGAAGCAACAATTAAAGTATCTTGAAATAAATTCCACGTGACTGCCATTAAACTTCAAAAGCGCACGCTTATCTGACTAAAAACAAATTATGCAAATAAATTAGACGAAAGAAACCTGGAAACTCTAGATGGATCATCTGGTCAGAAACTGCTTTTGCAGCTTCATATTAAACGATTCAGGCAGAATTTTCTGTTTTAGGGTTAGACCAACTGAGACTTGAGATAATCTGACATTTATTGTTTTCTTAGGTGCATATTAAGTCAGACTATTTAATATGTCGGTGTAGGCTGCACAAATTCTGCCTAACAGTTAGCAGGTGTGACCATTTTCTAACGAATGAAAACTCCCGGTGCCTTTTGCTGACTTAAATCTCTGTCATTTCTCAGAACATTTTTAAAAGCACTTATAATTCCCAGACTTTTAATTCACTGCCAGGAACCCACACATTTAGGTCAAGCATAAAGAAAATCCTGAACAGATTTTAAAATTCAGACGGTCACGATGATGTGATGTAGAGTTCTGACGGTGAATCTGCGTCATAGTTGGAATAAGGCTGACTCTCAATCGGCCATCTTTGCCCCTAACATGCTCTCACTGGCAAACCAAACGCCCAATCTTTCTTGACCAAAACTAAGCTATGACAGGTCTTAAAAACAGCTGCCCTCTTCCGTGTGGAGCTTATTTCTATGGCAAGATTTAAAGTTAGGGATTTTCAATGTCAGCGAGGTGTTTAGAAATCAAATTTATAGAAGCTTCAAGAAACAAAACTGTATTATGTCATCGTTTAGGCAGTCTGTTCGGTCCGTCTTTCACGGAACATGGAAATGTTGGCATTTAGGATTCTCAAGACTGCAGAGCTG